GGCGGGGGATGACAAGACATATAAAGACGCCGCATTCGCCACGTCTTTATGACATCTGGGAACCTTAATGTTTTTTTTTCTCTTTACATTCTTACATACAAACATCGTTTAAGAGTTTTGGATATCCAGATCCTATTCTTATCATCATTCCTTTTGCTTTATCAAGCTATCCAATCGTTTTGTCCACTCCCTCTCGATGGAACACCGCGAGAACACTTGAATACACCAAACGACCAAACGACCAAACCGAACAACAACACAGAACCAACCACTTACACGACGCTCTGCACCTTATCATGCCTACACCATCCTTCACACAGCACCCGTTCCTCCTCAGCGTCCAGGATGTCGCCAAACAGCTGGAAACGGACGTCGACAAGGGCCTCACGGCCGTGCAGGTGAAGCAGCGCCAGGCGCACTATGGGCGCAACGAGCTCGAGGTCCAGGAGCCGACGCCCTGGTACTCGATCTTGATCAAGCAGTTTTGCAATGCCATGATTATTGTCCTCTTTATCATCCTGGGCGTGTCCTTTGGCATCGGCGACGTGATTGAGGGCGGCGTCGTGGCGGCCGTCATCGTCATCAACGTCACCATCGGCTTCTACCAGGAGTCGCGCGCCGAGAAGAAAATGGACGCGCTGCGCACGCTCTCGTCGCCCAGCGCCACCGTGGTCCGCGACGGCCACTCGACGGTCGTGCCCAACGCCGACGTCGTGCCCGGCGACGTCGTGCTGCTGCGCACGGGCGACACCGTGCCCGCGGACGCGCGCCTCTTTGAGTCGGTCAACCTCAGCTGCGACGAGCAGCTGATGACGGGCGAGTCGATGCCCGTCGACAAGGTGACGCACCACCGCATCCTGGACCCGACGACGGGCGCCGTGGCCACCGAGGCCGAGCGCGTGACCGACGGCGACCGCATCAACCTGGCCTTTGCGTCGACCAACGTCAGCAAGGGCCGCGGCCGCGGCATTGTCATAGCGACGGGCATGGACACGGCCGTGGGGCGCATTGCCGCGGCGTCGGCCGGCAAGCACAGCCGCAAGCCGGGGCGGTCCATGAACGTGCGCAAATACGGCCCGCGGCAGGCGGCCCTGGGCAGCGCGCGGCGGCTCTGGGACCTGGTGCGCAAGCTCATCGGCCTCAAGGACGTGACGCCGCTGCAGCGCCGCCTCACGTACCTGGCGTACGCGCTGTTTGTGCTGGCCGTCGTGATTGCGCTCATCGTCTTTGGCGTGCACAAGTTCGACCTCAACAGCGAGGTGGTGCTGTACGCGACGTCCACGGGCATCGCGCTCATCCCCGAGTCGCTGGCCATTGTGCTCATCATGACCATGGTGCAGGCCACGCGCGTGATGCGGCAGGCCAACGTGGTGGTGCGCGACCTGGCGGCGCTGGAGCTGCTGGGCGGCGTGACCAACATCTGCTCGGACAAGACGGGCACGCTGACGCAGGGCGCCATGATTGTCAAGAAGGCGTGGCTGCCGCGGCAGCGCGTGCTGACGCTGCACGGCTCGACGGACCCCAACGACCCGACGACGGGCACGGTCCAGGAAGACGACGCGACGAGGGCGGACACGAAAACGAACAACGCGAACAACGCAAACGACGCAAACGACGCAAACGACGCAAACGACGCAAACAACGCAAACAACGCAAACAACGCAAACAACGCAAACAACGAGCCGGGCGACGGCGCCGCGGCCGCGCGGATGACGCCGGGCCTGCGCACGTTTCTGCTGGCCAGCGCGCTCTGCAACGCGGCCACGGTGCGCCAGGACCCGGAGTCGGGCGAGTGGCAGTCGATTGGCGAGCCGACGGAAATTGCGCTGCAGGTGTTTGCGCAGCGGTTTGGCATGGGCAAGCGCGCGCTCGAGGCGGCCGGCTGGACGCAGCGCACCGAGTTCCCCTTTGACAGCACCATCAAGCGCATGAGCGTCGTCTACGACGCGCCGGCGGACGTTCCGGCCGGCGACTTTGTGGGCGCGCAGAGCGCCCGCACCAACAACAGCATCGTGCTCACCAAGGGCGCCGTCGAGCGCATCCTCGAGCGCTGCACGTCGATGGCCCCCGACGACCAGGACGCCGAGGGCGAGCCCATGACGGACGAGCACAAGGAGACGATCCTGGCGCAGATGAACACCTTTGCGCCGCTCGGCCTGCGGGTGCTGGCGATTGCGTACCGGCCATGGAACGGCCGCTTCCAGGGCGAGGGCGAGGGCGAGGGCGACGGGGAGCAGGCCACCGACGACAAGGAGAGAAAGGACACGGCTGCGCCCAGCGCGCGCGCCGACGCCGAGCAGGACCTGCGCGCGCGCGTCGAGCAGGACCTCGTCTTCGTGGGCCTCGTGGGCATCTACGACCCGCCGCGCGTGGAGACGGCGCCGTCGATCCGCGAGTGCACGGACGCGGGCATCCACGTGCACATGCTGACGGGCGACCACCCGGCGACGGCCGAGGCGATTGCGCGCGAGGTGGGCATTCTGCCGGACGCGTCGGTGACGGGCACGCTGCCGGCGGACGTGGCGCGCTCGCTGGTGCTGCCGGCGACGGCCTTTGACGCGCTGTCGGACGCCGCGCTGGACGCGCTGCCGCAGCTGCCGCGGGTGGTGGCGCGCTGCACGCCCGAGACCAAGACGCGCATGATCGAGGCGCTGCGGCGCCGCCAGGCCTTCAGCGCCATGACGGGCGACGGCGTCAACGACGCGCCCAGCCTGAGCCGCGCCGACGTCGGCATTGCCATGGGCTCCGGCAGCGACGTGGCCAAGGGCGCGGCCGCGATTGTGCTGGCGGACGACCGCTTCAGCTCCATCGTGGCGGCCGTGCGCGAGGGCCGGCGCATGTTTGACAACATCCAAAAGTTTATGCTGCACCTGCTGACGTCCAACATTGCCGAGGTCATCGTGCTCATCATCGGCCTGTCCTTCCAGGACGCCGACGGCTTCTCCGTCTTCCCCGTCAGCGCGCTGCACATTCTGTGGATCAACATCTTCACGTCGGCCATGCCGGCCCTCGGCCTCGGCATGGAGAAGGCGTCCATCGAGGTCATGCACCGCCCGCCGCACGGCCGCGGCATCTTTACGCGGCAGCTCACCTGGGACATGCTCATCTACGGCGTCGTCATGGGCGCCGTCTCGCTGCTGACGTTTGTCGCCGTCGTCTACGGCGTCAACGGCGGCGAGCTCGGCCACGAGTGCAACCGCGAGTGGTCCCCCAGCTGCAACGCCGTCTTCCGCGCCCGCGCCACCGTCTTCGTCCAGCTCACCTACCTCATTCTGCTGTCCGCCTGGGAGTTCAAGGACATGCGCCGCTCGCTCTTCCGCCTCAACCCCGAGAACCCCCACCCCTTCCCCCTCAACGTGGCCACCGACCTCTGGGCCAACAAGTTCTTGTTCTTCTCCGTCGTCATCGGCCTCATCCCGCCCATCGTCCTGGTCTACGTCCCCGTCATTGGCGAGAGGGTCATGAAGCACCGGCCCATCACCTGGGAATGGGGCCTGGTGTTTGCCGGCATTGCCGTCTTCTTGCTGGCTGTCGAGGGCTGGAAGTACGCCAAGCGCAGCCTGGGCCTCTTCGACGAGACCATTGGTGCTGCAAGGCACGGCCGGCGCCGTCGGGGCGGCGCCAACGGCGGTTCAGTCGAGGCCGGCCGGCCGCCGCTGATGCAGAAGAGCGTGACGACGAGCACCATGCAGTAGTTGTGCAGACTACGAGCGTTGCCGTCATTCATCAATAGGTAGCGATATCTGACTTTGATTTTGTTATTTTCTTTTACTTGTCTTTTTACTCTCTCACTGTTTCTTTGATAGTTTTCCTTTGTTATGATTCCCGTCTTAGAGGTCTACGGACCAAATTCCCTGGCAAACGGGGCGACGCAAGTTACCATACTTTTATTTTCTTATTATCTAGTTGACAATACGAAGACTTGAATAACTTTGACGATCTTAAGCTCTTCTTTGAAGTGCCTGACTTTGACGAGCCAATTCCTCTTCGAATGCGGCCGTTATCGCTGTAATCGCTGGCCAAGCTGGAGACATCAACAGCGAATGCTACGTCTTTTAATGCACGTATAAAAACTTGATTTGGTGCCTCGAGCCGCGTCTCAAGTTGACTACCCCGGAATGGGAATCTGGCCAGCAGCCGTGCCATGATATCATAGTAATAGACGGACCAATAATACCTATCGTATGGTTTCCCACTTCCACTCACCTTCTTTCATCACTCGCCAATTGAGCCGCAGTCTTTTGCCTGTAGATGCCTCGATGAAATCACGATCGTTGGTACTGCGAATACCATCTTTAGGTGGTCCATTGATGACCCGGCTTTCCATTCCCTCTCTGCACTGTTACTACTCCCTCGAAACGGTAAGTATCACCATGCATAGACTTATTCGGCGTCCACTTGTGCTGGTGAGATGTCATTGCACCGATTTCTTTGTCTATTGTCGTCACGCAGGAGGAGTCCTTTCCATTGTAGACGCAGTGCCCCAAGGTGTCGCCATGAAAACGCATCTTCTGGGAAGAGGTAGACATGGAGATGGGAATGTGTTTCATTCGTATCCTCGCATCAATGTCGTAATTGTCAGGATCATTCCCTTGGCTGCTTGGATGTCATTGCGATCAAAATAGTGTCTCAACCAAAGGACGGCATGTTGAGCAGGCAAAATGGGCGGAATGGCTACTTAGCCAGCCAATACATCCAATTGCCTACCCCGGCTCACCGTGTCCTTGGCTTTTAGAATCCCCTATTGCATCTTTATTGCTATAATGAAGTGTGCTATAGGTGACGTCGGAGACCAAGGTGCTTTGACGTTGGGCGACTGGCCATATTCACGAGAAGAGCATAAATGCTGCGACCATTCCCACGAGCCTCGGTGAAGAGTAGCTATCGTGATTTTTTTGTACACCATATTCAGATTTCAGTTTCACCCACGTCAATGTCTTTCTACTTGTCATAACGCGAGACTTCTGCCGCCTCCTTGTCGTATCCCAACCCGTGCGATCATGTCCTGCACCGTCCTTTCTCAGCCAAAGCCGCTCGCCACGGGCCCTATTGTTGTCGCTTGCAACGCTCCGGTGAAGGCCCCGGTGCCCATCCCTATTCCGGCCAGCATCCCGGCCAGCATCACGGCCCACACGCCGGAACCTGAGCCGCCGCTGATGTCCGCCGTGACCGCACAATGTACGGAACGCCTGACTGTCCCCGTTCGGCCGGCCTTCAACTGGCGCAACGCCGCCGATCGCCTGCGTGAAGGACTGCACAGGCCGCTGCCGTTTGAGAGCGACAAGGTGCCGCGGTACCGGCAGTCGGTCTTTCACGAGATGGGGCTGGGCAGGGGCGGCGAAAAAGGGTTCGACATGAACGACTTTGACATGGACGACATGGACGACATGGACGAGATACTGCCGCGAGCACGACGACCGCGGCCCGCGTCGCTCTTTTTGACCAACCTGCATGCGTTGCGGCTCGGGCTGGACGACGACAACCAGCCGGCGATGACCAGTCCCGTCGCATCGGCCCGGAAGCGCATGTCGTGGTCGCCCGCATCATCCACATCCGCGTCGCCATCCACGTCCACGTCGACCTCGCCAGGCCTGTCCGACCGCAAGCGGCCGTGGTATGCCAAGCTGGGCGGCAGCGGCAGCGGCGGCTTGCGACTTGCGCCGAAGCGTTCGATCTTGTTCTTGTCTGTGAGGGAGGATAAGTGAGAATAGAGAATACGGCGCACGATGAAACGAGACAACAAAACGAGACATGACTAAAGATTTGTACTGTAAAAAATAATAATGTATTTCATGGTGGCGGGACGGGCTAGAGGATATATGCACTGTGCAAAACAAAATGGAATGCAAATAAAAGGAATGAGCGTGTCGTAATATACAAGAACTGCAATGAGCAGTGCGAGACGGTTGACCGGTGCCGTCCTTGGACGGAATATTTTTGGCCATCGTGTGCGTCTGGGCGAACAGGGCCTCGTCGAGTGAAGATGGTGTGTAGACGGTGTGACGGAGTCTATGCTCGACGTCGTTGCCGGCAGAGAAGCAGGGACAATACAGATGTTGTCTGTGTCTCGCTGGCCTCGCTCTGCGCGGCATGTGTTTTGCCATGGGGCAGAGAGCGCGACAGGGCCTGGCCGGACGCTGCATGTATCGTGCGACGTACAAGAGGACAAGAGTACAAGAGGACAAGAAGAGCTTGATGCACGCCCTCCTCATGTCGCCAGTGTACCCCACGCCCGCACTTGCCGCTGCTCAATGTTCTCGCCAAACTTGCGCTGCAGCCGGTGCAGGATGCGCTGCGCCTCGTCCGACTGCCCCACAAACGCCAGGTGCCGCACGGTGTCCAGGCCCATGGACACAATCCGGGCCGCGTGCGCCGGCCGCCGGCCCGTCGGCGGCTCCGCCGGCATGCGGTGCCGCAGCACGCTGGTCAGCAGCGTGTCGTTGTCCAGCAGGGCCTGGGCGGGCGCGGGGCTGGGCTTGGTCGGGTGGCGCAGGTCGAGGTGGGCGCGCTCGATGAGGACGCTGGGCCGCGGGTCGCTGTCCATGATGCGGGCGAAGCCGTCGTACAGGGCCGGGGAGGGGTCGGCGAGGTTCCAGGCCTTGAGGGTGGACAGCCACGAGAGCTCGAACCAGGGCCAGACGATTGTGTTTTGGACGGTGGCGGTGGCCGCGGGGAGGTCGGCGGGCAGGTCGGCGGCTGCCTGGCTCATCGTGCGGTAGGCGTCGTCGAGCGTGTCGGCGCCGCCGGCCTTGGCCTTGACGAGGGCGTCCAGCACGAACGCGGCGCTGCCGACGCGGTAGGCGGGCGCGTTGCGGGCGCGGACCTCGACCTGTGCGGGGCCGTCCTGGCCGTCCTGGTTTTGCTGGAGCCGCGCAATCCACTGCCACACCACGGCCTCCATGGCCGGCTCGGCCGCCAGAAACTGCACGAGCACGCTGGTGAACTGCGTGTCGGCGACAAACGACAGGTCGCGCTCGAGGCCCGACGCCCGCAGCCACTGCAGCACGCGCAGCCCCGCGCCCGTGTCCGCCATGAACGTCTTGGCCAGCGCATGCGACGACTGCACGGCCTCGCGGCGCTTGGCCAGCAGACAGCCCGCCGCGCGCTTCGTGGTCATGAGGCCGCGGGCGACGGCCCAGTCGAAGATGTCCATGGGGTCGCGCTGGGCGGTCTCCGCATGGGTGGTGGACGGGTGAGCGAGCGCCGACGACAGTGGGGCGGCCGTCAGGATTCCCGGGGCATTCGCTGCTGCCGCTGGCACGGCCTTGGTGACGCTGGACCGCAGGTTCGGGCGGCTGGCAAGCTGGTCGTAGGTAAAGAGCGGGTTGGACAGGATGGCGCGGAGATGGCGGTCGGTTGGGCGGTGGCGTGGCGACGACGACGGCGTGCCAATTGGCGTTGCTGCCGTGGCGGCGTCGGCGGACTTGGTGGACGATTGCGTCACCGTTTTCGTAGCGGCCGCCACGGATGACTCGGCATGTTCGTCGCCCAGACCGTGTTCGCGGTCGAGATGTTTGCGGAACGACGTCGTCAGCGTGTCGAGCAGCTTCTTGCGGCTCTTTTCGTTGAGCGGCAGGGGGTGGTGAATTTTGGGCAGCATGCCCTTGAGGGAGCTGTATGGCCTTGTCGGGAGCATTGTGGATGGTGTGGGGAGGTGTGCGTGCGCAGTGTCGTTGGCGACGATGGAAGCCAGAGAGAGAGGTGACGATATCATAGAACGAATGAGGACAAAATGGCCAGCAGGTCTGCCCTACCCCACTGTGGGCCGGGTGTGGCATGCACGTGACTATACACGTGCATGACTATGTGGGTCCAATGCCGTTAGCGCCAAGACCCCAGCGTTCAGTGTAAGTCACAGCGGATACCGCTTCCCCGGAAAGTGAACTCTGCATCGCCCGACGAGCACAACTTTGTAGACAAGCCGGAGGGGCAGAGGGTCAGGAAGCCAAGTAGGCATCTCCACGTGGGTGCTGCAATGAAATTCATATTTAAGTCGTATCGCTACATGTCGTATGTTACAATCACGATTGTGCCGTCTACCCTCTCTCCAACAAATCATCCCAGTCCCAGGGATCTTGGTCTGACCAGGTCCCTGCCGCAGGCATGCCGCCAATGGTGGGGTGCGGTTGCTGTTCGTGTTGGGTTAGCTGTAGTGGAGGTCGCTGCTCGAGCTCCTTGACAGCTTCTAGGGAGACGACCGAGACACGGCCGTCGGCCTCAAACAGCGACGGCGGTGCATGTTGTGCCTGAGGGCCAGCGCCCGTACTCACCGTCGTGTCGGCCGTCGACAGGTCCGGCACTGATGGCACCGTGGACGCCGTCTCGTCGAGGCGGTGGAACACTGCGTGGTGCAAATCCTGGTGCATGCTCTGCTGCATGCTCTGCTGCGTGCTCTGCTGCGTGTCCTGTCGGGCGTACGCCTGCGATGCCATGACCGTTTCGAACGCGGGTGGGGGTGGAGCCGACGTCTGCAGTGGCGTCGCCTGCGCCGGTTGTGCCGGCCCCCCCCTTTTGCCTTTGACGGCGACTGGCGGTGGCGACTCGGCGCCGTCTATGCGCCGCTGGAACTGGAGAAGCGCGCGGTTTGTGCGGCCGTAGGGGTAGACGGCCGGCAGGAACGTGCGCGTCATGTCCTTGAGGGTGCGGCGCAGCGACTGCAGGTGGGCGACGGCCTCGATGGCGCCGTCCATCGGCAGCGTCTCAATGTACCAGGTCAGCGCCTCGGACGCCATGGCGGCCCACTGCACGCCGGTGCACTGCAGCGTGCGAATGTCTTCGCGCCGCCGGAACGTCTCAAACAGCTTGGCCATGCAAATGGACGCGTGGCCCAGCGTGGCCATGCTCGCGGCGGCGGCGTAGTCGCCCGGGGGGTTGTGGTTGTGCGGATGGGCGTGGTGACGACCGTTCGACGCGCGACGGGACGGCGATGGCATGTTGGGCGACGGCAGGGGGTAGCCGCTCGGCGCGCCGCGGGTTTTCTGAGGCGGAAAGGCGCGGGTGCGGTGCACAATGATCTTGGTGGCGTTGAAGTGCAGGTGCAGCACAAACAGAAAGTGGTAGCAGTCGTGGCCGCGGACGGGCCCCTGGCGCACGCGTTCCGACAGACTGTTGAACCACTGGTTGAGGCGGGCATCGAGGCTGGCCACGTCGGGCCGTTGGCTGTGCGCGTGGCGCTGGGCGGCATGCTGGTGATAGGCGTGCGGGAGCCCGCCGCCGTCATACGGTAACTCCGCAGCGGAAGAAGTGGATGCAGCCGCGGCGGCGGCGGCGGTGGCAGCGGCAGCCTCGGCCTCCGCGGCAACGGCTGCCGCCGGGCGGTTCTGGAAAGGACTGCCGGCGCCGTACAGCTCGTCGGTCATCTGGCGCGCCAGCTCCATGAGGTCCATCAAGTCGTCGTTGACCTCGTCTTCGAAGCTCGACGGCGCGCGCAGATCGTCTTCGCCGTGGCCCGCGACGCTGCTGGCGTCCGACGACGGCATCGTGCTGGACGAGCTGGTGCCCCCGACGGCAAATTGCCACGCCAGACGCGACAGCTGCAGGGTGAGGTTTTTAATGGCGAGCGGCCGGCGCAAAAACACGGCCCAGAACTGGTCGTGCACCGACGCGGCCCAGATGAGCCAGTGCCGGATGGCAGTCTCTTCGGCGGTTAGGGCACGGCTGCTCGAGGCCGCTCCCAGGTCGAGCCCCATCTCCAGGATGAGCTTGGACGCCAGGCACGAGTACATGTAGCCCGTCATCTGGTCGTCGAGGCTCGTCTCGACCTCGCACAGAATCAAGACCGTCTGGACCGTCGCGAGCGTCGGGCGCCCGACGTCGGTCTCGACGGCGCGGCGTGCCGCCGTCGCCAGCCGGTTCTCGCCGTCTGGACGCAGGAAGCGGTCTGTGACGTCCGGGCGCGTCGAGTAGCGCAGACCCGCCGCCAGCATGGCCAAGAAGAGCGCGCTGCGGTGCTTGTGGCAGCAGTCTTTGCGGTGGACGGGCCCGCTGCTGGGGTCGTCGTCGATGCTGTCGTAGAAATCATTGTCCGCCGACTTTGGCCGGCTGCCGTTGCTGGTCTGGTGCAGCGTCATAAAGTCTTGTTGCGACACAAACTTCATCATCATCTGGTAGCGGTGGAAGAAGAGGCCCAGCAGGTAGTCGACGAGCGGCGGCGACAGGCCCAGGTTGTCGCAGCAGGCAGCGCGGGGCCGTACCGTCGGGAACGGCGCGGCGGCTACAGCTGCAGCAAACGTGGCCGCGACGGCAGCCGTGGTGGCAGCCGGTGCTGTTCGCTCAACGGTGGCGCGCGGCAAGGAAATACTGTGGTCGTGGCCCTGACCCTGTTCATGACTTGGGGCGAGTATCTGTGCGTGCGAGGGCGCACAGGATGGGGCTTGCGATGGATGCGACAGAGCGCGCTCGCGACCGCCGCCAAGAATCACGTTGCTCGCACTCTGGTTCACCATGTGCGACGACGTGTACGACGACGTGTACGACGGTGCGTACACCGTGTTGGGCATGTAAAAATTGTGGGCGGGCGGCGGTGGCATCGACGATGGCGGCACCTGCGACTTGGCCATGGTTGTGGTGTTGGTGGCGGTGTTGTTGTTATTGTTGGCGACGGACAGCATCGTGCTGTATGCGTCGATGTCAGCGTCGTTGGGCATGGCAAAGATAGACAGCGGCGCCACGGATGCGCCGTCATCCATCTCCAAGTCCATTTGCTCCCACGCGGAGAATTGTTGGACGTGTGGCGGTTGATTGTGACTGCGACTGTAACTGTGACTGCGGCGCTGGCCGTGGTTCAGCTGCTGCTGCCGCAACAGGGCGTGGTTTGCGGCCCGCGCTTCGGCCAGGGCCTCTTCGAGCAGCCGCACCCGCTTGGCCAGCGCTTCGGCCTGCGGCTTGTAGTGCCCGCGGTTGCGTTTGCCGTCGGACATTTCGCACGCGATGCCGCGCTGCTGGCACTGCGCGCACGTGCGCTGGCCTGGGATGCCGTCGCATTTGGACCGCTTGCTGCGGCAGTGGCTGCAGGCGACAACGGCGCGGATGCGTTTCTTCTGGGGGTGTTGTGATGTCGTCGACTCGGACTGCTGGGCCGGCTGTTGTGGCTGAACAGACGGCGGCATCGCCGATGTCGTCGGTGACGTGCTATGTCGGACATGGTGTTGTCGTGGGGTCTAGATCATGCGATCATGCGATCATGCGATCATGCGATCATGAGATGTCGAGATAATGAACAAATTGTGTTCCAAAACGCATTGGCAGTGAATAGTCGAGATGGAGATGATTCACGATAAGAAGAGAACACCACATAAGAAACAGAACCAAGACTGAAAACAGTAAAGATGGGGCAAACAATGCGGAGAAGACGTTGTGGAGATCCCATGTTGACTCGCTTCGTTTCATTCCTTTATTCTTCCTGTCTCTCTCGTCACTCCTCCGTATCAGCTCCGGATCTGCAGCAGCTTGGAGGATCTGGAGAGTCTGGAGACCACTTTGTAGCGCCATAGCATGCATGGGGCTCTCCGACCCATGGACCCACGGACTCATGGCCATGGATTTAAGGGTTGTATGAGCTCACAGTCTCCTATTCCCCGTCTTGTCTCCCCACTGGCCGTCTTGGACGGGCGCTCATCGGATATGGTCTGCGCCATCTTGCGGGCGTTGATACGTCCGTTGTCCGGTCTCCCCCTCGCCCTTCCAGTTTAGCCCCAAGCTAGCAGGAAGTTGACAACCGAGCCGGCCACGCCACGTGCGAAACGACGAAAAACAAAAACAACCAAAAACGGGGTCGAGAACGGGGTGGAGGTGCGACCTTGACTGGCAGCCGGGGTGTCGGGCTACGACAAGCATCCAGTTGACAGAAACAAAATTGGGAAACGATGAAATACACAAAATAGACGAGCAATTGGCGGCATGGCAAATGCGGTGACCGACGCAGTCGCTTTTGCAGCTAGGCGCTTCGTCTTCGTTTGTCAGGGGGAGTGTTGACGATTTGGTGCCTGGAATTAAGTTTAGATGGGCCCAAGTTATTGCCGATCTTGGAGTGCAGGTCACGTGCTGTGCAGAGTACATAAACAGATTTAGCGCACCGGCTGTCATCAATCATGTAATGACTCAGTCTCTTGTAGTATAGTGGTCAGTATACGGGCTTGTCACGCCCGGGACCCGGGTTCAATTCCCGGCGAGAGAGAAATTTTTGGTGTTTACTTTGCAATTTTTTTTTGCGTCTTATTTTATTTTCAAGAGTGTTAATGTTTTGTTTTTATCTACTTCTGCTTTCATTTGTTTTCTCTCCTTCCTTCTTTTCTTGAAAATACGGCATCTTAAAATACGATATGCTTGCAATGATTCGCTGTGTCGATGGGCGAAAATGATAATATATTCAACAGTGACCTGATGTCCTCTCGGAGCACCACTCGTCTAATACGTGAGCGACCTTTTCTTCAAGTCGTCGTACTTATGGACGTAGTTGACTTGAAACCATGGCCTGAGACTGCTCGGTGCCGTGTTACGTGTTATGTTGCAACAAGCTGCTCAGAAGGCCAATATCTTGGTTGGTAACTTGCTGAGAGGCCGCCTCTCTTCTGAAAGACGTAGAAATCGCACTCAGACTGCGGCATCCGACTATCAACAGAATGTCTTCTTGGTCAAGTACAGCTGGGTAGTTTATATAGGAGGCTACATCACATAGTTTATAGGATGGTGAACGAATCGTGAAAAAGCGGCATGCTACGCTGTATAGATATCATCATCATACTACCCAGTTCAAAACGTTCGCTCATACGCCGACGCCTTTTACAATCCGACCCAACTCATTTGCTCGTGCTCTTTTGACCATCATCAGCATTATCCCGTCGTAGAGTTATACCGCTGGATGTCTCGATAGAGGCCAGGTCCTTGTCGTTAAACGTGGCCAAAACCTCCTGTTTTAGCGACTCGAATACATCGGCTGACGTCGCAAATTCACCGAACCAACACTTGCGGATCGTGTCTGCAAACAAGAGCTGCCCCGTTGCAGGGCTGATGCCGACCGTGTCACCTTCTTTGCCGTGTTTCGGCTCGTACTCTCTCGTCTGCCCCGAGAGATCTGGAAACGCCTGTCGCTCGTACCGGGCTTCCACCTCGTCGTCGGACAGTGCATCGTACGGGCGGTACCCTGTGACGATGTGGTAGATGCTACAGCCCAGCGCAAAGCAATCGGTCGTCACGTTATAAACGTCCCAAGACTCGCGCGGCATAAAGTACCGTGTGCTCTCAAGGCCCAGCACGGGCTGGCCGTCGTAGGATGAGCCGCCAAAGTCGAAGATCCGGACGCCGAGGCTGGCGTCGACGCCCATGTTCTCGGGCTTGATGTCGGAGTGGATAATGTTGTGAGCATGCAGCAGGACCACGGCGTCCGTGGCCTCGAGGCATAAACGGGCACGTTGGTGGAGCGGGAGCGAATCGTGGCGGCGACGTATACGAGCATTACAGTCGGCCTGCGTCTCGCCACTTTTCCCTTCCACGTCGCGTGACTCCTCATACGTAAACCCGCGGAGGTAGTCTTCAAGCGTCCCGTTGGGCATATACTCGAGGGTTATCCAAACATTGGTACCGCCATCATCAAATGAATCGTAGAAACGTAAGAGGCGTCGGTGGTTTTGAGGGAGCAGCTTGTATATCGCAATTTCGTTGCGTATCTGTTTGCTGCGCATCTCGGGGTCGGATCGCCATTGGGCAACGGATTTTTTCACCATTGTGCCGCAGGGTGTCAGATGGACGATACCTGACATGCCACAGCCGATCATCGTGTCCTAGTACAGTCGAGACATCAGCAAGCTGGGGGCGAAGTCCACGGTCCATGTGCAATTGGGACCAATAACCCACGACTTGTCGACCTTGCTCCGAATCAGGATCGATGATCTCATAAGTTCTCGTCGTCATGCTCTCGTCGTGTGGCATCGTTGGCGATATGGCGGTGGGTTGTGTTTTGGCAAAGAAGGCGCGATTGTTGTGTCGGTGAAAAAGTGTCTTACGAATTATTGGTAAAGGACGGATCTGTGATGTCACGTGACACACTCTGTACTGGATTTTGGCGAGATGGAAGGTATATGTACACATTACCAAAGTATTGCCAAATGCAGAAGAATTGATGCATTCGTGGTATTTTGTTCGCTAGCGATGCTGATGGATTTGGTAGTTAAGACCTTGGCTGCCAACCATGGTATGAAGTTGGGGTGGTTGGTCTTACCTTGTGGAGGAGCTGGAGAAAGGGCGGGCGTGGGGGGTAGAAAACGATTGACCACCCGCTGTAGATGAATCAAGGCCGTGTTCGTCGCAGAATAATATCTTGAAATAGGAGGACAATTATAAAACGAAAACAGACTTGTTTGGAGTCGTATACTTCTGGATGTCTCTTGTGTTCCTTTCCTTCTGTTTCTTTTTTTTCGTCTGTAGATTTATTCACGGCATGGCGGCATCTTTATACAATTTATGGCAATACTGAAGAGACCTTGATCGAAAAAAATGGTTTGTCTTTCGTTTCCGCCCCTCATTAGCAGCCTGCCCATGCAACCCACCCTGCGCAGTTCCCCCCACGTTCTCGAGGCATGGCAGCCAGCAATTTGTATATCGCGTTGCTGCCTATCACATCCTGCATGTCTCTGCATAAAAAAGTGGTCTAGGTTCGCCTCAATTCTGAAAACAAAGGCCCATGCCATGTTTCAATCTGTTAGTGAATGCCCTCGTACATGGTAGAAACCAGGTCAACGCGGGACGGAATGCCTACCATCGATTCTCGGCCACACCATATAAAAATACCATGCAGCCCATATCATTCAAAACGGAAATGTGGGTTGTGCCACGTCAAGACCTGCACAGTGCTCAATTCGGCATCGCCTCACATAACCTTTGTTCATAGGATTCTTTCATCGACGGCGCGCTGCTTGTGGAGGCGCGTGAATATCCTCCCCACTGGAGGAGCAAGTAGGGCACGATGCTTTGACACAGTTGGTGGTCTTAAGGCGTCTTTGGCAATGTGTAAAAACAAGTAAGAGGAACCGGTGATGTGAGAGGAGAGGGAAAGAGGTGGAGACGTGCAGAAAGTGGCCGAGATTGCCAGAGAGAACCGAGGAAAGGACTACATATAGATGGGCGCCATGAGTCACATCTGATTACCACCTCGAATTAAGATGCTAAGAGATACAGTCAAGCATACCTTGCCACCCAGTTCGACATACGATGTTGGCCTAGAAGAAGGCTCTGCGGCTGTTCTGGAGGCATAACGGGCACAGGCGCGCACAATGGGGCACTCGATGACACGTCCACCAAGCAGGTTGGAGCCGGAACGGTGCAGGTGCCACGCCCAGAGAAGCAAATCCCCGGTGGGGGCTTTCTGGTAGTATATTGGGCCACCACGCTCGTTCCTTGGCTTTCTTTCGCTCTCGTGCCTGATGGAGACTTAAGTTGCAAAGAGTAGCACCGGTAAGCTCGCATAAGTATCACACGAATTACAATAAAAGAGGACGACGAGACGAACGGAAAAGAATGGTCTGTAAGGATGGAGATGAATGGACAGGACGCAGTAACACTTGTGTTGTTTGATCACGTTGTAGATTTCACTGTATGCCTGCTCGCATATATTGCGTCTTTTGATGCTATCCCGTGCCGCATTACGAAGGCACTATGTGGGTGTCCGTTTTCTGGTAGTACAATGCCCGCAAAGGAAGTTTGCACATTGCACATCGACTCAGTACCAATTTTGATGTGTGGTTTGCTTGGTTTTTTGATTTGCTCCTCCAGTTCCAAGTCGCCGTTTACGATCCTGCCGGAGACAGCATGATCACATGTCATTACCAGGTACGGGTCACTGGAGTCATGTTGTCCTCTGACGTTCATGCACGCCGTGACAAGGGTCTGTACATGTTTGGTGACTGTATCTTATAACGGTTACGGGAATACGGGGACGATGACAGCATCATGTCGTAACATCGTAACAGAAAAGGACGCACAAGTACATCTTGTGACGCTCTACAGCTACGTGCGTGGCATTGTTTCTCAAATGCTTGCGTGGCGTTGGACAGCCAGGCAGAAGAGCGGACAGGCGGATAGAAAGACAGGCGAATATGTGGATATTTGTGCTGACGGACAAGCGGACATGACACGAGGCCAGAAGGCAAAGAGTCGTTGTTGTTGTTGTGAGAGTCGAGAACAGGTACACGCACATGCATCACAAAGGCAACGACAAAACGAGAGTGATACGCCAACAACAGTAAAAGGACACGGAGGACAGGCACAGAAATGAACCTTGTTTGCTGGTGTGTTTGTTGTTTCAACGTCGGCGACCACTCTCTCCAGATCCTGAAACAGCACAAGGTATCACAATACATGACGAATTCAGGCACACTGGTACATTGGTACACATATAAAGCCATCACGTCATTACATCCAACCGGCTTCTGTTGTCACTTAAGTGGCAGGCGGTAGTGGGTGAAACGGACACGCGGGCAAGCAAGATATTCTCGAAAAGAACTGTCGTACGAGAGAAGGAGTGCTCATAATTGAGCTCAATGACCTCGCACGCAGCACCCTTGGCGGATGGGAGGAACCGTGCAACCTTGACGTGTATAAAAGAAGGCCATGGAACCTGTTGAGACAGGCCTCTTTTTGTCATTGTTTGGAACCCTTTTTTCTCCATCAACAGACTCAAAACACAGTATCAGTTTGCCAATTCCCAACAGGATCGCCCACAAAATCCAACAGCTCAAAAACTAGAAACCCAACTACCGTCACCATGACCGAGCACATCATTTGTACGTCTCGTTTGCCTTCGTTTGACCATGCAGATGCCTGCTAACACGTTAGACTACTCCCCCTCCTTCTCCGAGGCCAGCCACAAGGCCACGTTTACGCGCGACCAGATTAATGACGCCATCGGCCACGCGCTCAGCCTGCTCAAGGAAGGAAAGCAGATTGGCGAGGGCAACTTCCCCCACGCCTACAAGACGTACCCGCTGCCTGCGTCGGCCGGCAAGCACGCCCGCGGGCCCATCTTTGAGTTCCCCATCCTGCTGGACGGCAGCCCGTACAAGGGCCGCCACAACCCCGGCCCAGACCGCGTCGTGTTTGGGTCGGTGGCGACAGACTACGGATCGGCCGACTACGTGGGCATTGCCGGTGTGGGACCGGATGGTGCGGGGGCGGCGGCGACGACGACAAAGACGCCCTCCGCCGCGCCAGGCGGCACGCCCGGGTCGTACACGCCGCACATTTTCCGGGACACGTCGGTGAACCCGGGCGAGGGACACCGCCTCCACCTCCACCACCACAGTCACGACCACGGCCATGACCACGATGACGGCAACGAGAGCAAGACGGAGACGCCGCCGCTGACGCCGCCCGAGGAGCGGGAGCTGCTGTCCGAGGCGGATGTCAAGGTGCCGTTTTCGGATTAAGCAGGGAAGACAGAGACGCGGTACGGTGGATGAGAGACGACGTGATGCCAGTGCTTTCCATACATGGCACGGTTCCTGGAGAACCGGCCTTGGTAGACGGGGAGGACAGAAAAGGAAACTGGTTGCTGTCCGAGAAATCGATAGAGAGCCACGCCTAGCTAGGAAGCAAGACAAAATATAAAAACGGGTGATCACCAACAAAGAAAAGGCTGCTTGTCGGCCAGTGGTATATGGGCTTCAAATGGCCTCACTGTGCGGGGAACAGCAGTGCTGCTCTCTGTAGTATTTGGCATGCTTTGTTGGAAGGTCCCGCACACGTGGACATCCGCAGCATGACTATGACGTTGAGAGTACGCTTAAATTCGTGATAAATAAAGTCAAAGGGGCCCATTGTATTCGTGTCCAAGACAAGTCAGGACGGAGTAGCACGAAGTACTCAGTTTGTCCTCGTTTGTAAGACAAATTGGACCACATCCAGATAGGCCAGTCTGACCGGCTTCTATCACCTCGTTTCCAGTGGTTGCACCAAAAACGTGTCATGTTTTGGCCGTCGGCAGTCTCACTTTCGTCAAGATTCTCATCAGATCCCGACAATTGTCGAGAGATTTGGACTACTTGTTTGTTTACCAGGTGTCTCGAGTAATCGTGTTATTAGTATGGGCTACCGATAAAGTAGGGGGTCTTGACTATCCACACACTAGCTCACGGCGAAGAGCGTCCAGCAGTCTTGTCACGTGGAACTTGCTCAATAGGTTATGGACAATTAAATATATCTAAATCCAGGCAATTATTAGTCATCTTTGTTCTCTTATCAAAAGCGTGTTGGGATGCTGATGCATCAGTTGCCTCCGGTGGCATTTTCGCTCCGTGAAAGGAAGGCACGACCGGGTATTGGATCAGATCTAGGAAGGTGCCAGATTGACTGGATTTTGGGGCATTTAGGGACCCCCCAAACGAATCTTTCTTTTCACATTCACAATCCACAGTCCCATTCCATACATTGAGCGCTGTCGCCACGGGACCCAAACAGTTATTCCACGTTGGATGTTGATAAGTATCCCTTCGTCACCGTCAGTCAGCCCCTGCACAATGTATCTTTACGTCTATGACCATCTGAAATTCGTGATATTATCGGCCTCAGGTAGCTAATTGTTTCCAAGACAGCAGGAATCTGTTCATCAAAATGAACATCAGCGTCAACTTCATTGGAAATCGCCCTATCAACTGGGATCCCCGGGAAGATCCACCGTCAACGACAGCACGCGGCGAAGCAATCGTCGCCAGCAAGGACGATGGCAACAGTCTCACTGATGATGACGTTCGAAAAGGCTTCACCGAGTTTCTTACAGCAAAGGGAGAAGAACGTCGGCCTCGCGCAGACGACGAAGATATAGAACTGCCAGCGTCTCAAAGACTGGCCCGGACTGCTCTTCTTGGCATTCTGGCGAATCCCAGCGTCCGAATCCCAGAACTCACTGTTGCATATATACGATTCATCTTCCAGGTTCATAACCTGACAGGCACCCTGCAAGACAACATGCGGCAGTTTTATGCTGATATTTTTGACGTGCTACGTTCACGAATCGACAGCTGTGCCCGCGGCTGGTTGGAAAAAAGCCATCAGGCAGGCGAGGTTGTCGACCGTGTGGCGCAGAGACGAGTTCCGACTTGGTACAACAACCGCTGCTTTCTTTCTGGCTCCATTGACCCCCGGGGAGCGCCCATCGTCCCCGTGAGGGCGAAACGAGCCGATTTATCCGAAACATGGAGTTATCTCCGTCACTTTTGGCCCATGAAGGACATTGAGGAGCTCGTCGTGGCTGGGGCCGAGAGCAGGAACATCCTCCCTTTGAATGCGCATGCGCATGTCATGTGGGACCGGTTCCGGTTCGCGCTGCGACCGATTCAGCACCCGACAGCGCCACCGGAACGAGGGATGTATGTGCAGCTGGTTTGGCTCAACCAGAACGATGACAACGACGGCACAAACAGCTGCTTTGTCGCAGACGATTGGAATCATGCCAAATACGGCGGTATCAGTGACTACCGTCGTGACCAGTGTCCTCCCATTCGACATGGAGACGTCTATGAACTGCTGACAAGCGACCCCGACACGTATCCTCTCCCCAGCGAGTATTTTTTACAGCTGCAATTTGGCGTCCACAAGATCCTTGCCGGCATTCGGGCCGCAGGTGCCCTCCGCGAGATATTTGGTGGCGAACCACCACAGGATCCGGGCTTGGACCCCATCGAGGCAGGCTACGACGTACATGTGCCTTTGCTCTGGCAGGTCCTTCTGGAAGATGCCTTGCGTGAAGGCGTTCTCGACGAGGAGCAGGTGGCGCTCTGGAGCAAGGCATTCATTCGAGAGCAAATCCAGATTGCTCTTGCTTTGGGCATCGACCTGCCGGAGACGGAGACGCACTCTCCCTAGGAAAGAGATGGCCATTTTCGTTTGAAGCACCAGGCGACGCAGACGAAACAGACGAAGCAGGACAAAGCCGCGCTCGCACACAAAGAGCCGATCAAACAACAAGCACTTGCTCAAGTCGCGGGCATTCCGCCTATGGCTGATGTGCCGTTGAACGGGACATTGACCGGTCGATGACAGCGACGTTGCGGCGGCTTCGGGCCAAAGTCCTGCGCAACGGCCGTCCATCCTGGCAGCGTTCGGCACCGTCCACAACCGAAAGCAAGCGCAGCCGGGGTTCGCAGAGCGGTGATCTTTGTCTTTGCAGAACCCCCGTTCGGCTGGACGGCATCGCATGGCAAAGCCAAGAACAGGCACAACAGAAATGGCCCAACCCGGCATGGCGTGCGAGATTGTGGCGTGGGCTGCCCCGTTATTGGGGTGCCGTTGGTGCCTGCGGCGCTAGGGTGATGCATTGGAAATTGCCCCTGTTAGCGCCAACAGAGCGGGCAGGGGGCACCGGCTGTGGCGGCTGGGAAAGGTGACGCAGAGAATGACGAAGCACGCCGTGGACAGAGCCGTCAATGGTCTTTGCATCCCGTGGAGGTTGGTCCGGTTGTCGTACAGCACACTGGATTCACATAGGGCAGGACAACGGTGTGGTGGAAGGAATGTTTACGATCCGTGACAAACCAACAGACGTCGAAATCAAAGCAGAAAGTCAACGGACTCGCCTTTCCTCGTCTGCGTGCAATTCATTAGTTGGCGTACTCGCGCGGAGTACTTGCGTCAACATCTCCAGCCACTGTCGGCCTTTTGCCTCTTTGCCGCGTCGTCTCATTGTCGCCGTCTCTGCGGCACAGACGTGCCTTTTCTTTTTCTCAGAGTTTAATTACTCGACACCTCCAGCCTCTCGTCACCCGGTTGGCCTCAGCGCACCTGTTGTGCATGTCTTCCGTCCTGCCCTTGAAGAGCCTCTGCTGTGGCCGTCGCTTTGCTTTGGCATCGCCTGTTCCCCCACCTGCATGGGTAGGTTAAAATGACACCCCTGACGCTGTTCCCAAAATGAGCATACGAAGGAAGATGGTGTGGTCCATCGCGTGCTGATTGGCGTACCTGACAGACCATTGGCACACTCCATTTGGGTCGCGTCTCCTCGCCGTTTTCTTTGTTCTCCTTTTTTTTTTCTCCTTCACTCCCATCGTGAAGTCGGGTGTACACCCATCTCCTCTGTTCCTGCGGCGGTGGTCTGTAGTCTTTGGTCTGCGGCCGTCCTACGGGGATGTCAAACGTCGAACCTAAATAAAAAGAGTTGTTTTCTTATTCAACGCCTTCTCAGGATCGACTCGGCATCAGTGTTAACCATAACCATCTGCTCCCAAACGACCCCTACCATTCAGCGCGAATTTGTGCCCTCCCTTGCGTCCTGTATGCCATTGTTGCGATGCCCATCTCCCGTCTTGTTGTCCCAAATCTCTGTTCGACATGGCAAACAAAGTCTGCCATTTTTCTTTTCTCCAGTGCTGATCTCCACGTTTTTTTCCAGGAACACTTGCCATAAGGCAAAAGCGATGATCATGGCCAGACCACTCGACGCCTCGACGTGTCTCCTCTGCCCCTGTCGTTGTCCCTCAACAGGGCATGTCTTCTTGTCAAACCCCGACCCCTGCCACTGTCAAAACTTTATTGCACATCCACATTCACTCCAACGTCTAATTCGTACGCCCACTTTTACCCTGACAATAACCACCTCGTCCCCAGTCCGGCCTGAGTCCACCCACACCTTATTTTCACCCAACGAGAACCACACTATGCCGGACACAACATACACTCCGCTGTGATGCACGAGTAATGCTTTATTTGGTGGGAAAGTTGTCCGTTGTTGGCTGTGTCCTCCCCTCTCCATACGACAGTGGTAACCGACCCGCCATGGCCTCAGTCCCAGTTCAAGTCACAGCCATGTCGTATCTTAGTCGATGTCGTCGCGCTCGTTGCCGTTTCTGTCGCCGGCGTTTCCTAGAATGGACTGTTTGTCATAAACATGGAGGGCAGACTATTGGCGTCGTATATTAGCATCGTGGGCGCCTCATTTCTGCCCTTTTCTTACCTTTTTCTACTTTCCTGCTCTTCTTCTGTTGTTTTCCAGCGCCACCTCTCACCCCAAGTCGTTCTCTACCCATCCACATCCTACCTCGTCCGAGGTGAGGCAGATCATTTGATCGTCCGTTCGTTCACTCCAACTGCGACGCTCATTCTTTGTTTCTCTTTCTTGTTTCTTTGTTCTTCTCTCTCCCACTATGCGCTACACCACCGCCTCGGTGGTGGCCTTCCTGGCGTCCGCCGCCACCACCGTCGCCCACAGCAAACCGCCCGTTGTCGTCTGGGTCACCAGCACCATCACCACCTGCCCCACGCCCCAGCTCACGCTCGCCTGCTCGGATGTCGACACGGAGTCGGAGCTGCCAAGCAGTACGGCCGTGGTGTCGGCGCCGTCGTCACTGTCGTCGGCCGCATCCTCTGCCGGCAGCGGCGGCAACGGTGGTAATGGCCACGGCCACTCCCACTCCTCCTCCTCCTCTGTTGTCGTCATCTCGAGCTCGTCGGCCGTCTCTGCGTCCCAGTCGGCCTCGGCCTCGGCCTCCGCTTCGTCTGTTATTTCCTCCGGTTCCTCTGGCGTCGCCGTCCCGTCCAGCAGCTCTGGCGCCGTAAGCTCGCCTTTGCCCTCGAATTCCGTGTCTTCCTCCCACTCGGCCCCTGGCTCCGCCGGCTCGTCTGCTTCTGCGTCTGCCTCCGCATCGGTCTCTGTCGGCTCGTCGTCTGCTTCCGCTTCAGGTAGCGCCTCTGCTTCCGCTTCAGGTAGCGCCTCTGCTTCCGTCTCTGGATCTGGCTCTGCTTCCGGCAGCGCCGCGTCTTCGTCTGCTTCCGCATCCGGATCGGCTTCTGCTTCAGCTTCCGTGTCAGGCTCGGCTTCAGCTTCGTCTTCCGGCTCCAGTTCAGTCGTCTCCAGCAGCGGTCCGGGTAGCTCTTCTGTCTCTGCTTCGGGAAGCGCCTCGTCCTCGTCCTCTGCATCTGCATCTGGCTCGGCATCTAGTTCTGCGTCTGCGTCGCCATCTGTTTCTGCGTCTGCGTCTTCGTCTTCTTCGGTTGCCGTTTCCGGTTCGTCCTCCGCCGTCTTGGGCTCTGCTGCTTCCAGCTCCTCCGTATCTAGCTCCTCTGTCTCTGGCTCGTCGGCTGTTTCCAGTGCTGCTTCCAGTGCCAGTGCTAGTGCCAGTGCCAGTGCCAGTGCGAGCTCCGGTTCTGTCTCCGCCTCTGGCTCAGGCTCGGCGTCTAGCTCTGCCGCCTCCAGCTCTGTTGGTTCTAGCTCTGCCGCCTCGAGCTCTGCTGCGTCTAGCTCTGCTGTTTCGAGCTCTGCCGCCTCCAGCTCTGCCGCCTCCAGCTCTGCCGCCTCCAGCTATGTCGCCTCTAGCTCTGCTGTTTCGAGCTCTGCCGCCTCCAGCTCTGCCGCCTCCAGCTCTGCCGCCTCCAGCTCTGCTGCTTCAAGCTCTGCTGCTTCCAGCTCTGCCGCTTCCGAGTCTGCTTCTGCTTCTTCTGTCTCCAGCTCTGCGGCCTCCAGCTCTGCTTCTTCTGCCTCCTCAGCCTCATCATCCGCCTCGTCCGCCTCCGAGAGTGCTTCTTCCAGTGCGTCTGGCTTTTCCAGTGTGTCGAGTGCCAGTGTCTCTGCTTCCGGTTCAGCCTCTTCCTCTGCTTCGTCTGTGAGTGCATCTGGCTCGTCGGTGTCGGCATCTGAGTCGGCCTCTTCGGTCTCGTCTGCTTCGGCCTCTTCTGCCTCGGCCTCGTCCTCTTCGGTGTCATCTGTCTCTGTCTCGTCTGCCAGCAGCTCTGCCTCTGTCTCGGCGTCGGCCTCTGCCAGCAGCTCCGCATCCGCTTCGTCCTCGGCGTCGTCTAGTCTCATCTCCTCGTCTGCTTCCAGCGCCGTGTCGTCGGCCTCTTCGTCGGTGTCTTCTTCGGCCTCCGTCTCGTCGTCGATTTCCTCGTCCGCCTCGTCTTCGATCTCGTCGTCCTCATCGTCTGCGTCGCCTTCATCGACCTGCTCGTCGTTCTACCTGGAAAACATCAAGCACCAGGGCTTTGCCCCGTACGAGGGCAAGGACTATGTTGTGTTCCGCAACGTCAAGGACTTTGGCGCCATCGGTGACGGCGTGACAGACGACACCGAGGCCATCAACAACGCCATTGCCGCGACGTCCAAGGCGACGGACAGCGGGCGCTGCGAGCCCGGCTCGAGCTGCCAGTCGACGACGACACAGCCGGCGCTGGTGTACTTCCCGGCCGGCACGTACCTCGTGTCGTACCCGATTGTCGACTACTACTTTACGCAGCTCGTGGGCAACCCCGACTGCCCGCCGACGATCAAGGTGGCCAGCACGTGGGCGAGCGTGGGCGAGACGCCGTACGCGGTGATTGACGGCAACCCGAACGAGCGGTGGACGGCGGTCAACATCTTCTGGCGGCAGGTGCGCAACTTTGTGATTGACATGACGGACGCGCCGGCGGACCTGCCGCTGGCGGGCGTGCACTGGTCGACGGGGCAGGCGACGTCGCTGCAGAACATTGTGTTTGACATGTCGACGGCGAGCAACACGCAGCACCAGGGCGTGTGGTCCGAGGAGGGGTCGGGCGGGTTCCTCAGCGAGCTGACGTTCAACGGCGGCCTGTACGGCCTCAACTTTGGCAACCAGCAGTACACGATGCGCAAGCTGACGTTCAACGGCTGCCAGACGGCCGTGCGCCAGGTCTGGGACTGGTCGTGGACGTACCAGGGCCTGACGGTCAACAACTGCAAGGTCGGCCTCGACCTGTCGGCCGGCTACCCGTCCAACGTGGTGTCGGACGTCGTCATCGTGCTCGACTCGACGTTCAACAACGTCGAGACGGCCATCCTGTTCGCCAAGGCCAGCGGCACCATCTCGCCGGCGGCGGCCGGCGAGCTGATTGCCGAGAACGTCTACTTCAACGGCGTGACCAACGCCATCAAGCAGGCGGCGGGCCCCGTCGTGCTGTCGGGCGCGCAGCACTCGATCGGCCTGCTGGGCTACGGCCACGGCTACGAGGGCACCAAGGCTGTGTCCAACCTGGGCAACGTGGGCTACAGCCGGCCCAAGACGCTGCTGAGCGGCTCCAACTTTTACACGTTTGACAAGCCGTCGTACGCGGGCCTGACGGCGGCCGACGTGCTGAGCGCGCGCACGCTGGGGGCGCTGGGCGACGGCTCGACGGACGACACGGTGGCACTGCAGGCCGCCCTCGACCTGTCGGCGGCGTCGGGCAAGCTGCTGTTCCTCGACTACGGCGTCTACGTCGTGACGTCGACGCTCGTCGTGCCCGCGGGCGCCCGCGTCACGGGCGAGTCGTATCCGGTGATCCTGTCGAGCGGCGCCGCGTTTGCCGACATCAACCACCCCGTCCCCGTCGTGCAGGTGGGCGCGGCGGTCGGCGCGGTGGGCCACGTGGAGCTCAGCGACTTTATCGTGTCGACGCGCGGGGCGCAGGCGGGCGCCATCCTGATCCAGTGGAACCTGTCGGGCGCGGGCGGCGGCGAGTTTGCGACGATGTGGGACGTGCACACGCGCGTCGGCGGCTTCACGGGCTCGGAGCTCTCGCTGGCCAACTGCCCGCTCGACAAGACGGTCACGGTGACGAGCAGCAACCTCAACACGAACTGCATTGCGGCGTTTATGAGCTTCTACGTGCCGGCCGGCGTCGAGTACGTGTACCTCGAGAACAACTGGTTCTGGGTGGCCGACCACGACGCGGACGACGCGGCGCTCACGCAGATTACGGTGTATGCGGGCCGCGGCATCCTGCTCGAGGGCGCCAACCTGCTGCTCTGGGGCGTCGCCGCCGAGCACCACACGCAGTACCAGTTCCACGTGCACAACGGCAACAACATTGTCATGGGCCTCATCCAGTCCGAGACGGCCTACTACCAGCCCAACCCGGGCGCGCTGCTGCCGTACGCGACCAACGCGGCGTACGGCGACCCCCAGCTGACGGCCAAGCAGTCCGGCTGGGGCGCCGTGTACTCGGGCACGACGGCCAACACGCTCGTCTACGGCGCCGGCCACTACTCCTTCTTCATCAACAACGACCAGTCCGGCTGCGAGCCCTACGGCTGCCAGACCACGCCCCTCGTCAGCATCCAGGACACGGCCAAGGTCACCATCTTTGGCCTCGTCACCACGGGCGTCACGTACATGGTCGACTACCTGGGCACGCCCGTGGCCGACGCGTCGTCGTCGACCAACTATGGCAACTTTATGGGCGTCGTGGGCGTGTTTTCGAGTGCCTTTTCGGCGTGAGCGTAGGCGGCGTGGACTCCTGTGTGTGTGTACATAATGTTCGGTGTGCCGTATCTCCTTTTCTTTTCTTCATAACAGGTGTAGGCTGGTAATGTGATATTGACGTTGTCCATTGGGTAGCAGTAGAATGGACAGAATTTTGACACCATCCATGCCAGCTCATGCCAATGCACACTTTCGTTATTTAGTTTCCTTTGCGACAGTAATTATGTGCCTCTGACAATCACTCTGTAGGTGACCAGGTCTGTCGGCAATGTGTAGTCGGTCTTGGTGGCTTCGCAACAAAGGCGTCTTCTACCCACAACTGCGTCGCACCGTGATCTTGGGCGTCCATTGTCGAGAGTTTGGTCCGGGCTGTTGCGACACGTAAATCTTGACGATTTACAATGCGTTGCTAGCCGTCTGTTTCACTGTCGGCAGACTGTCGGAGCTGGAGTCAAATGCGATATCGTCACCAGTGATCCAAAGAACATGATATGACGAGCGGGCATGTACGAGAAAGACTTCAAGCTCATACTACCAGACACAGCAGAGACAGCAGACGACAACATTGTTTTATTCTTGATTAGAAATGTAGGCATGTTCACCGCCAGAGTGTCAGCTTACGTCGTCCAGCAAAGCGTCCGTTTTCAAATCTGATCAGAGTGGGTATAGGTCACAGTGGTCCAGATTCCAGATTCCAGTGCTCGGGGTTTCCTTGGGGTACGACGGGGCCGAGGGCGATCTTTTCCATGTTTATAAGCATTTGCCTCGATCTCGAAGAACAATTCTACTATTTCGTACTGTTAGTACCGGCCGACAAATAAGGCAGGCACGGATAAGTCCGCCAGAGACTATCTCCGCCCAAAGGCCCAACATCGTCCGAACAGCGCTTTCTTCGCCGCAATTGACGGAACAGCGGCTGGGGATCCGCACTCTGCGCTATCGTAGCCTGTCACTGTGTCCCTGCAGTTGTTTACTCGTCCTCCCACTGGGGGCATTCCTCTTGATGACGGCTTGGCAATCCTTCCACGGGCCTTCTTGGCCCTTCTGCGCTCCTTCCCCTTTCGTCGTTTTTACCTCTTTTGTCATTATTTCCCTTTTCGTCGTCTTTGTCCCCGGTCTCCGGGCCCGTTCCTTCCTTCCACACCGTTCTCGGCCTTTGCTCCTTCGCATCCTCCGGTTCCCCAACTTACGTAAAATGCAGATCTCCTTCCCTCCCACCCCCCTTTCCCCAATTGACATCGCGGGGTTCTCTCGGCGTTTTGACGTCCACATCGACAAGTGACTCAAGTGACTCGTGCAATTGACAGGGGCTGGACACGGCTAGACTCGCGACGCGCTCGACAACGTGGGCGCCAGCTGCTATCGGACCAAAAATAAAAAGGACAGAGGTCGCCGCGACACCGCGCCCGACGCCCGCCGCCATGAAGACCATTCGCACAATTCGGCATTCAGCGCAGCGGTCTTTGAGTCACTTCTCCGCCAGAGCAACACGGACACAGCGATTCGTTCCCATTTCTCAAACGGTTCCCACAATGGCTGCCTCTGCCGCCTCGGCCTCCTCGGCGACCGGCGCCCGCGCCTACGGCACCACGCCGCGCATCAATGGCGCCCGCCTCGTCGAGTCCATCCACTACACCTCCGAGACCTGGGGCGCCGCCCACCGCTACGGCGAGGACCACACCGAGACGGGCATGGCGCGCCTGTCGCTCGACGACGACGACGCGGCCGTGCGGCGCTGGCTGGCCAAGGAGGCCGAGGCGCTGGGGTGCGCGGTGACGGTGGACCAGATGGGCAACATGTTTTTGGTGCGGGGGGGCGAGAACACGGACGTGCCGCCGACGTTTATGGGCTCGCACCTGGACACGCAGGCGACGGGCGGGCGGTACGACGGGATTCTGGGCGTGCTGGCCGGGCTGGAGGCGCTGCGGACGATCCACGAGCAGGGGGTCAAGACAAAGGGGCCCATTGGGCTGGTGAACTGGACAAAGTAAGGCCGACGGCAAGCTGGCAGCGTGTTGCTCGCGAACTCGCCATCACTTATTCTTCTCGCCAATCACTCATTGCTACGCGCATGCTAACCGCCCCGCAGCGAAGAAGGCGCCCGGTTCCCGATGATCACGATGGCGTCGGGCGTCTGGGCCGGCGTGACGCCGCTCGAGGCGGCCTGGAACTGCAAAGAGACGCCGGCGGCGGCCGCGCGCTACGGCCACGGCGACGCGCCGGTGACGGTCAAGGAGGAGCTGCAGCGCATCGGCTTCCTGGGCACGACGCCGGCGACGCCGGCGGCCATGCCCATGGCGGCGCACTTTGAGCTGCACATTGAGCAGGGCCCGATCCTCGAGGCCGAAGACCGCCCCGTCGGCGTCGTCGAGGGCGCCCAGGGCTATGCCTGGTACGAGGTCACCGTCCGCGGCAAGGACGCCCACGCCGGCACGACGCCGCTGCACCGGCGCCGCGACGCGCTGCTGGCCGCCGCCCAGATGATTGTCGCCAGCAACGGCGTCGCGCACGCCGAGTCCGCGTCGACCGACAAGAAGGCCGGCGTCGTCACGGCCGGCGTCGTCAGCGCCCTGCCGGGCACGCCCAACACGATCCCGCATACGGCGTCCTTTACGCTCGACATCCGCCACCCGGAGCCCGAGCGCCTGCAGGCCATGGTGGCGGCGTGCAAAACCCAGTTCGCCGACATTGGCGCCAAGGGCGGCGTCAGCGTCGACTGGGCCTGCCTCTCCGACAACGCGCCCGCCGTCTTCCACCCTGACTGCGTGGCCGCCGTCGAGGCCGCCGCCGAGGAGGAGGTCGGCCAGCACACGACGGCGTCCGGCGCGACGATTACGGGCCACCGGCGCATGTGGAGCGGCGCCGGGCACGACAGCTGCAACGTCAACAAGCACTACCCGGCGGGCATGGTGTTTACGCGGACCAAGGACGGCCTGAGCCACACGCCGGTCGAGTACTGCAGCCCGGAGGACTGCATCAAGGGCGCGCAAGTGCTGCTGGGGGCCGTGCTCCGCTTCGACGCGAAGAGGGATATTTAGTGCTTTGTATAGAATGCATTTGTGTGTTATGTATGTCGACAAACGAGTTCGGTTCGACTGTAAGCATACAATGCGTGCTGTGTCCGAGTAGACAAGGACACAACGACGACTGGTGTCAGAATGAAGCAAACGGGGAACGGGGAGGCATTAGCTGCATTGGTGGCGTTGACGTCGAGGGCGAGACTGTTGAAGATATACACTACTGCCATGTCGCGACATGCGGCGGCCGTTGCGTGCAATCAATCTAGACAAGCTCTCTTGTTAGTGTGAAATCATCCGGCCGGCACCGTCTCGCTTGCGTCGGTTGTGGGAGCCAATGCATGCTCTTGTAGCGGCGGCTGTTGCGACATGGACACGTTGCCAGAGCTTTAAAAACGCAGACTTTGCGGCGCACACCAAGTGCTACATACAGTCCTGGTGCAGGTCGCCTTCGTTGGGGGTCACAGTCGCATCTGCATGGCCTGGCAGATCACGTCTTCTTGGCGCGCCTTGGTGCCATCCCCACAGCTCGCATGATGCCATCTTCCGGGGCTCGCATCTCACACTTGGGACTCGCCAGGCGGACAAATGAGAGCCAAAAGGTGCAGATGGGCGCCGATCGACCAGCACGTGCGGGTGTCAAAGGAAGCGACGTCGCCGGACTCTTTGTAGGTGTGCCGTGTCCCAGGTATATATATATATATATATAATATAGTACGGCATTCGGTACGGCGTGCGCTCGCCAGGACGTCTCATCCCAGTCTGCTCTGTTCCATACGACTACCTTTTGCTTCACCATGGCCGACTACGAAAAGGAGACTGCTCTGGGCGCCAACGTCGCAGCGCATGCCAAAACGGCCGCCGTGTCCCAGGCCAACGAGATAGGCTTCGAAGACAGCCTCACGACGCCGACGTCGACGGACGCGCCCTCGTACTCGGCCGTTCCAGACATTAGTGCCCAAGAAGAACGCGCATTTGTGCGTACAGAGAGCAAACCCGACCCGAAGCAGACCATGAGAGTCTCGCATTGCTGACGAAAACAGGTGTGGCGACTCGACCTTGGTCTTCTCGTGGTCGGCTTCCTGGGATACACGTTCAAGTACCTCGACCAGACCAACATTGTGCGTACTGCGGCCAGAGGCGGATCCTCCCACGACCTTTCGCTGACTGTGCATGCAGAGCAACGCCTATGTGTCCGGCATGCAGACGGAGCTGAACCTCGTCGGCAACGAATACAATTACTTTACGACGTACTTTAAGTAAGACTTTTGGCCTCCCACCAGTAGCACTCACGAGCACCGCCTAACATCGGCAGCATCGGCTACATGGTCATGCTCTATCCGTCATGCATCATCGTCTCCCACTTTGGGCCCCACCGGTGGCTGCCCGCATGCGAGGTGATCTGGGGTGTCTTGACGTGCTGTCTGTCCCTGGCCAACTCGTACAAGACGGTACGTGCGTCCAGGTGAAGCCACAATGGCGGACAATATTTGCTGACGGCATGTCCCAGGTGTACGGCCTCCGCTTCCTCATCGGCCTGTTTGAGGGCAGTGCCTGGCCAGGCTACATTACCATCATCAGGTCGGCGGTCCACTCCCCCTCCCCCCGCTCCCAGCGGCCTCGCGAGCTCGCGTCACAGCATCCCTCCAGCCCATGACGGGTCCAGCTAACACGCACAGCCAGTGGTACCTGCCCGACGAGATTGCGCTGCGCATGAGCATCTACAACGTCGCCCAGCCGACCGGGGCCATGCTCTCGGGGGCCCTGCAGGGCGCGCTGTCGACCAACCTCGACGGCGCCCTGGGCCGGTCCGGCTGGCGCTGGGCGTTTATCATCAACGTGCGTGGCGGCAACATGTTGGGCGCTGGAAAACGAGTCCGAGTGTTCGCGTTTCCGTCATTCTACTAACACGTCTCACAGGGCGTCTGTACGATCGTAGTCGCGCTGGCCGCCTTTGTCTTTCTCCCCGGTTACGTATGTTGAAACACGCGTTGTCTA